CAGGATTGTACACCCCTGGTCTAGCACATGACACAGTGTTCAAGTTAAAACATAAAAGTTCTTTGATCTAAAACGTCTTTGATCGTCTTTTGCATCTCGCACATGACATGCCATTCTAAAAATGTGGTGCTCAATTTAAAATGAGTTATTTTAAAAAATGACATGTTGTGCTTGCTATAGTGACTCATGCACTTTATTTTGATATTTACGCTTTGAGCTTTGCTGAAAATTTCGATGCACAAAAGCATGAATGAGAAATAAAAGCTAAAATGTTGAATGGCTCCTCACACAAAACTATCAGATGGCTTTAAAAGGGTTACAATATGGTGCATGAGTCATATTGAATATATGGCTTTTATTATACATTTCGGAACTTGATATCCCTTGCCCAATCACTGTATGTTGATGTATTGTATGTAAAAGCACAGCTTGGACATTGTTCAAAAAAAATTTTGTGTTCCACGGAAGAAGGACAGTCATAAAAGTTTGGAACAACATGAGGGTGAGTAAATGATGCCAGGATGTTCATGTTTGGGTGAACTATTCATTTAATGTGCAAACAGTTGTGGTGTTGCATCCGTACCCATTAGGTTTCTCTCTTCACAACACTGCGCACCAGCAGCTAAGCATCCAGAGATTCAGTGTTTGTTCGAATCCTCCACAGATTTTGAACTGTAACAGTGGAACCACCAGTCTCTCCCTCCTCCCTGTCTCTTTCTTCCATCTCTCTCAGTGGGACATGGTGTGTCTGTCACCACTGACTACCTTCCATTATGACATCCAGGGTTGTGAATGCAAAAGGTGAGAGAAAAACACACAAACGTACACACCTGAATAAAATCAGGAGGAAGATAAACGATGAGGAAGAAAATCTATGAAGAAGCAATTACAGAGCAGAGCAAGATAAATTGCATAATCTTACACTTACAAAATCATTTGTAATATCAGAAAGGATAATGACTAGTTAGGGGTGGCCAATTTGTATATTAGGAATTAGAAGTAAAAAGTGAAGAATTTGTTGAATGGAAAATATACAATGCTTAAAACAACATTATTAAATCATAAGAAAAAAAAGTCAAGTATGTACATTTGGAGGTCAAAATATGATCTTATGAGTGTGTAATTCTTCTGACACACTCCCTCATACATTTGTCATACACCATCTTCCTTTTTTTTCTTTGTTGTTGCTTTTTATAGCATTGCCATGGAAGTGAAGTGTGGTTGCTAAGTAACTGGCTGGCGTCTGGAAGCGTAAGAGGGTTGTGGCTAGAAGGATCCCAGTTAACAAAAATGAGTTGTCAGAACGTTTTGCTAACATTCCTATTAAGTTATGAAAACGTTATTTCGGAATGTTTTGTACACATTGAAAACGTCCAGTTTTTTTAATGTATTAAGAACGTTTTTTTGTGGGGTTTCTGCGACCGTTACAGGAACATTCCATCCTACCATTTTGAAAACGTTATGAAAATGTTATTGAAAACATTATAAGACTGTTCCAGAAACATTATGTCAGGAACGTTTTTTTCTAACATTTACATAACTTTTACATAACATTAGTGAAAGTTATGGGAACGTTCCCTGTTAGCTGGGATACAGCTACGGCTGGAAAGTCACAGTAAGTTACATTTGCTACACCTACCCCTTACAATAACCCAAATACCGTAATTATTGTTGTTCAGAGTGACAAAAATTACGCAATATTGATGTGCGCATTCCCAGTGGCCGTAACGTTAGCTGTATCCCTTCTAGCCTCTCAACCCGTAAAGAGAGGCTGTTGCTGCTTTCACAGACAAGAGCAAAGATGTTAGTGTTTGAGTGTGTGTAGCTACACGTGTAGTGAACAGTGCCGAGTCTGAGGCTGTTATGGTTTACTCTGTATGAAAACAGCTTTGGTCAGCTTTTTATACTGCACTGGATGCAAAGTCAGTACCATTTTTTTTTAGCATTTACAGACAGTATCTTTATAGAGCAGTTTGAGGGGATAGATAAATATTTTTAGTTTTAAAATTATCACATACAAAACCTTTATTCCCCCTTCCATATACTTATTTCTCTCTTGGAGAGGAGTGTCTCGGTGTGGTATCTTCCCATTTTCCTCAGAGAACAATCGCTGATGTAAACAGACCAGTGTCTGTGAGCGATGGAGCCAGAGATGCTGCTATGCTTATGTCATGCTATTGTCCAGCTATGCTCTTAAAGCTAAATTATAAAATGTTTCTTTGGGTTTGCTTTGAGAGTTTATGACATTATTTTTGTTTTATAAAAAAGAAAGCGGAAGTCATAATAAAGCTGTTATTTGTGTGCATGCGTAAACAGCACAAAACAACAGTCACTCTAGGAATCCATTGCGCCATAATTGTTCAACTTGCACTGCGGGACTTTGTCGACATCTAGTGTTCATTTATTTATATATATTGAAAGATTTGTAACTGAAAATTATTTAAAATAATAATAGTTATTATTGCATCTTTTAACAGGATCTTGTGTAGCCTAGTTATGAAAGCACAAGACAAGATTTGACAAAAAATGTATATCAAAACCAACACATCACTGCTTGAAACAATTATTTTAATAAATACTCTTAGTGTTCCCTCACACAGGAAATAAGGGGGTGGGTTTGTTCAGCCCCTGCACAGAGAACTACCCCACTAAAATGATAACAATAAGAACACAAAACCACATGCACACACACCTGTCCGCTCACACACACTCACATACAGGCATACTCATTGGTGGACAGTCAAAAAAAATACTGTCTACTACCAGGTTTAACGGTTCAGCACAACGAATTTGAAAACCCTCCAGTGTGCATTTCTCAGCACCATTCAGTCCGCCAAAAGAACACCCTGTAAGGTCATTAATGATCTCATCACATATCTCTTTCCACGTGCCCTGACATGACAGTTCCTTCAGAATGCTCTCTGTGGTGACGCATGGTCAGATCTGGTGTATACGCTGATCCTTTCTCTTCGGTTGAATTGTTCAGTAGGTGGAGGAAGAACGTCACTTAAGGAGGTAAGGAAGTGTCTGTCTGGTACATAAAAAAAACAGGTAGTACATGTTTGCTTTTTATTGCCAATTGTTACAAAAACCCTAATTTTCCCATTTCTGTCCTTCTCGCCTCAAAATGCTCCTTACAGGAGCTGACATTGTGTTGAGGAGAACAGAGGCTTTTCAGATGAGTTTACAATGAGAGGGGGAAGTAAATGCTTTTCACTTGAAACACGCTAGAACAGAATGAGTGAAATAGGGGCTTACTCATTCAGTTTTAGTCAGATTGACATGCACAGTAAAAAAGCACTTTCCATGAATAGGGTACAAAAGCTTAACCTTCAGAAATGATTACATAAAATTTTTATTTTTTATTCATTTCCAGTAAGATTTGCAACTTGTTACCAAAATTTGGGACATATACACTACTGTTCAAAACTTTGGGTCAAACTTTTCAACTGTTTGACATTGATAATGATAAGAAATATTTATTGAGCACCAAATTAGCATATTAGAATGATTTCTAAAAGATCATGCGACACTGAAGACTGCTTATTTTTAATTTGTTATATTTCACAATATTACTGTTTTTACTGTATTTTATCAAATGAATGCAGCCTTAGTGTTCATAAGAGACTTCGTTCAAGAACATTAAAAAAAATGTCCAACCCCAAACTTTTGAACAATAGTGTAGAATTGATTTGGGATCACTAAATAGAGTTTAAACCATGGTTCATTTGATTTTATTTATTTATTTTTTTGCAATAAACATCAAAATAAATAGACAAAATTTAAGAAAAGAAGAAAATGTTGCTAATGGGTCTATCAGTATGGGCTAGATATGGTGAGTTGTAGTTAATTCCCATGCACTTATCTCCCATAAATTAAAGGCAAATATTTTTTGATTATTTTTTCTTTAATACCATAGGCAACAGTTGAAAGATGAGCTGGTCAAATGCAGTCATCACTCCAATTTGTGTAAACATTGAGAACATGCAAGTAGATTCTTTGCTTATATGTATTAAATCATGCAGGGTTGTGCACAAAATGTGAGACAGGTAAATAGGACTTTTGTAGTCATTACATTTTTTTTAATAAACAACAATGAATTGAATATCAGTTTATATGTGTTATATGTATAATGTGTATATGTATAATTTATCATATTTGCTGGATACATCAAAAAGTTCTAGGTGTCTGAAGTGGGACAGGCCAAAAGTCCCATTTTAAGGGGAATACAAACATTTGAAGTTAAAGGAACAATATGTAATTTTCGCTGCTAGAGGGCGTGTATTAAAAATAAACAAAGAAGCAAAGGCTTAGTTTGATGAGGCAGTGACTGGGTGTGGAATCATGGGAGTTGTGGTCTTCATCCCCACAGCCGAAGCAATCCGACGGGACTCGGGCAGAAATCATGTTCATGGATGAGCTAATGATTTATTAACGTAGTAGAATGAAGCAGGGTGAGGCTGAAAGCCGTCGAAGCGAAACGAGGCCGCTGAACGAGCGCGACACACGGCTCGAAAGCAGCGGAGCATTTATTATGACATAGTAGGGCTGCCACTAACGACTATTTTTATTTCGATTAATCTATCGACTAATTTATCG